CTCCAGAAGTAACCTTATATTTCAAATTTAGGATTATTAAAGAGTGTCACAAAGAAAACCTATATAAATTTTCATTTAAATATAAATTCCAAGAGGGAGGTTTTTTTCACTCAAGAGTCGAAAAATATAAAAACATTTCATAGTTAAAAAACATATAAATTCAACAAATTATTTATTTATAGATGAATAATCAATTAAATCAAGAAAAATTTAATTAGCAAGTAAAAAATCTTAAACATGAAAATTCAAATAAGAGTGATTTAGAAATTTATTTAGAAATTGCAAAAAATTATTCCAAATTCTATATTGAGGCCAAGTATAAAATTGCATATTATTATAAAACTCATAGACAATACAAAATGCACTGAAAATTGCAAAAGAAATTTCTAAGAACTACAAAAATATAAAAATGCTTATGGCTAAATGCTACAGTAAAATTGGTGATGAAGAAAGTGCTTTAAAACTCTATAAAGAAATTGCAAATAACCAAATAAAAAATTTAATAAAGAAGTAAATCGTCTTAAGATGACAAATATGGTCAGAAATGATTTTGAAATTTGGCAACAAGTTGCAAAATATGATGACAAAACCTTATCTGCGATTGCAAAAAAAAAATCAGTGAATACAAGAATAATTGTAAAAAAATTAAGCAAAGTCTTGAGCAATTAAAAAAATATAATAGGTAATTAAATTATTAAAATATGTTTATATTGTTTTTTATTAAAAAGAAAAAATTAATTTGAAATTTTTTTATTTCAAAATTAAAATTAAATGTTCGTTAATTTTAGTTTATGAATTAGCTTCTATTAATAATGTGGATTTCTTTTGAAAGATAATTCTTAACAATTGATTTAAACTAATCAAATATATTTGCATGCACTTTTAATTCCTGGGAGTATTGATCATTTAGCAACAAGGGAATCTCTACTTCAGAATGCAAATACACAAGTTACTCTACTTCAGGAAGATTTAAAAAATCTTATTATCACTACTGAATTGCAGTTGTTATAGAAATAATTGCGATTGTAATTACATTTCTACTAAACTAAACTAGCAATTAATGTTTTTTATATTTAGCAACATCTTAGACATCGTTACTGATTATTTTTAATTTTATTAAATTTTGTATTTATTAGTCTCCTTTTTTTTTTTTGCTCTTATCATTAAGTAGTATAAATCCACTTAAATCTAATTCTTTAAGATTTTTATATTTTTGGAGAAACATTATAATCAAAGAACTTACAATAGAATTATTAAATCTCACATATTTAAACAATTCTTGACTCCATCATCTAAATCAAAAGCAAAAACTTTTTTAATATAAGTTAAGTATTCAAATAATAGTTTTGTATTACTTGGAATTGTAATTTTAAATCACGCATTAAATTCTGAAAGAAAAAACTTTCGTTTGTTTGCATTTAATTCTGAAAAAAATAGCTTTCGTTCATTTGCATTTAATACTGAAAAAAATAACCTAAGTTCATTTGCATTTAATCTTAAAAAAAATAACTTTCATTCATTTGCATTTAATTCTTGAAGAAATTTTCTAATAAGCTTTTCCTTTTTAAAACAAGGTTCTTTCCACAATATTGGCACAGTAATTTTACACCAATAGCGATTTACAAGAAGACATGAAAACAGGTTTTCTTGATCTTTTTGAAGGAATGCTAATATTTTTAAAAGACACTCGGTAGGGAAAGAAATCATTTTAAAAATTTTTTTATGATTCGAAATTTTTTGATTCTTCAACATCGAACAGAGTACTATTTTATAATTTGGGATTAATTCCATTTGATCAAAAGACCCCATTTCTTTGTTTTAGCAATATTCATTGTGATAACAACTTTAATATTTGTGCTTAGAAAACCTTTGTGAGTAGAATTCTCTATAGTATACGAATAAATTAACCACTTGCCAATTGTTTTAGAATTGTCATTTAAACGATTATGCAAAACGTCTATGCTATTAAATAAAGTAAGGATATTAAACATCAGGAAATGGAGTACGGATGAGTATAATACAATAATTTAAATAATATATTTAATACATATATTATAATTTAAGTAATAATACAAATATACACAGTATGTAGAATAAGATATTAAGTAGTACGTAAATCTTATTTCTAACTCAGAGAAATAAAAAAAAATTGTTATTTATAAATTACAGTATTTCATAGGACCGCAACATGTGTCTACCATTTGAATAAAAGATTTGCGTATGGACGGATTCTTACGGAACGCACCGGATAATTCTAAAACGCATAGTTAATACAAGAATAATCAAATGTCTATTTATTGTCTTTAATTACTTTTTATAAATGGCATCATCGAGCGGTAAAATTTTTTTAATAAACAATATCAATTCAAAAATTGTTGATTCTTAATTGTCGCATTATAATTTATAAAGTACTGTATTTAACAGTGATGATGAGACAGGGCCAAATAATTGATTGTGAAGAAAATTAATTTGATCTTAAAATAAAAATAGCACAGTATGATTTGCATTCAAAAATTGTACTGGATTCATAAAATTCGATAACTTTTTGATAATAATTTTTTTATTTACGTTAGCATAACAAATATCATTAATTATTAAATCACATTGACTGTAAATCATGGACCGTTTCTTGTCTATTAATCTTTTATTGAAAGAATCAATTCTAAGGTAAGTAAAAAAATCAGACCAAATTAATCTAAGTTATTATCATTAAATAATTATAAAACTTAAAATCAGCTTCTAATTCATGTAATAAGTTATTTCTTGTAATATGCTTTAGCTCTTGAAGTGCATTAGTTTTATCTAGTTTGCCAGTTTTATCTATTTTATAAGTAATCATCAGATCTCCAGTAATAACATTCAATTCTTTTTCGGTTTTTACAAGATCATCTTTCATAGTATATTGAATTTCATCACTGCTATCATAATAAGAAAGAAAATCATCATTAATTGTCGCAGCATATAAATGTTCTTTTGGAAAAGTCTTCATGATTGATTTTTGTGTTTGAATTATATCTGAAGCTCTACAATCTAAAAAATGAATATTAAAAATAAATCTTGAAATAGAACATCTAATATAAGAAGTATTATTTATCGAATCTCTATATTGAATAATAATTTTATGGCCTTCTACATATTTGTTTCTAATAATTTCAATAATACTTTTAATACTATTCATTTTTTATTTTATCATATATTGAACTATAGTAAATGACTGACTTGGTAGACTCTGTTCAAAAATCGGTATTTATAATAATAAATATACAATGTCAATATTACTAACCCAAGCTCCTTTCTTTATTTAATAATGCAATGATAATATATTAGATAAGCATTCTTTCAAAAAATTGACTTGTATTATTTTTTGTATTAACATAAGAAAATTTCAATTTATTTAAATTTGTGAATTGTATAATTAATTTAAAAATAAATTTATTAAACCAGAATTAGCATTTGAGTCAAATTTTTAATAAACATTTGTCAGAATTAGCTTTGATTCAAATTTTTTAATTGAAACATTTGTTGATATGAATCAATTTGATAATGATAATGTTTTTGTCAATATTACCTAAATTTTAAATTTAAACTTCTAAAATTATTTGAGATTCAAGATTATTGATAAGCTTTGTTGATGAAATTTTTGTTGAAAATAAATTCAAACATTTGATTTAAAAAATGTTTCTATAATATTTCATTATCTAATTAATTTATTATAGGGCTACAATTTTTAAATTTAAAATTGTTTATTTTAAATTAAACTCAAAAGTAAATAAGGTTTACTTTTTTTTTTTCTTTCCTCCTGTTTTTTTGTTTTAGATCATTTAAGTTCTGTTTTCGACTTTTCTTTCTATTGATTTTTCTATTTCTTTGTATCTTTTACAATCTTTTTATCTTATACTATATATAAAACCGCAATTTTTACATTTTTTTTTTCATATGCTTTCCGCAATTATTTTTTCAACACAAGTCGCAATGATGAACATTTCCTGGGGGCAGCATTAAAAATTGTCTAGTTAAATAATAGGGAGGACTATAAAGTCAGATCTCTAATCTTGAAATTCAGAAAATATTAGAGCTTTCTTAATATATTTTTCATTCATTTTTTTTTTATAATTTATTGATCCAAATCAATAATAAAATATTATTTTATCAAAATCTAGCTAAATCAATTAATAATTATATAAAACAAATAGGAATATTATTTTATTTGAATTATTAGGATTGTATTTAACAGTTAATAATAGATAATTTAATAAAAATTTCAACTAAATAAATGTAATTTATGTACTAAATGCTGCATTCGTGAAAAAAATTAGGTTATGACTAGAGTGTGAACAATAAACTAATTGATAATAAAGCAGTTATCTTGAGCTGTAAAAATTTTTTAATTTGGGAGGTCAAAATATGGGGATTTTATAATTCTGGGCAAAGTATAAGTAATCCTAGGCAAAATTAAGGATAAATTTGGTTAATAACTCTACTATTTATAAAATGAAAATTTATATAGGTTTTCTTTGTGACACTCTTTAATAATCCTAAATTTGAAATATAAGGTTACTTCTGGAG